CCCCTGTCGCTCACTCTCGCCAATGCAGATACTATTTGCCGTTCGGCACAAATTAGGCAAGATAGCACGCTTAACGGCAGTCAGGTGAGCGGACTTGGCGTGTAAAAGGATCTTTTCGCAGCTGTCTTTGCGATAACATTCTATACGTATCGTGCCATCGGCCAACATCAGTCGATTATTGAGATACGGCAAGGAAACCTTCGTTTTGTTTCTCTCTGCTGAATTTTATGTACTGGGATTGTTAATTTGATAGTTTAAAACATTCGTCTATCTCGGACTGAGTTGATGTAGTTGTACAACAATCGTCTATGTTCTGTAGTACATAAGTGATCTTCTAGATGGCACCGCTTCCCTATTTTGTTCATAAAGCATACAGCAAGCACGGGCGCTGATCGCTGACCCATTGACAGCCCCTTACCTGTGAATAGATGTCTCCAGGCCACCTGAATACATTGCACTCAAAACACTCTCTTATGAGAGTCGTAAGTCGCGTCTTACTAAGTCCATATGTCGACAAACTTGCACTGCGCTCATCAAGCATCTCGGAAAGAGCCTCTAGTGCGTCGCTGTTTGAGACATTGGTGTACAACGACGACACATTAAATGACTCTATGACGCAATCTTGGTCACTTGACTTGTTGCAGTGGGTAAAAAAATGATTAGTGTTTCTCAGATAAGAGGGAACTTTTTCGGAAAGTGGATTGATAGTTTTGCTGAGGAACCATGATATTCTGTCATTTGGGCCATTGATGCAACTGATAATTGGCCGGATCTTGTAGTATACAAGCTTGAATGCCTAGACTGTTACGCTACATATATTGACGAAACCGGGCGGCCACTCTATATACGCGCAAACGAGCTTTTGGCGAGTAAAAAACGGAAAGCATAACAGCCCGTTGGGAAGACACAAGAAAGTTGATCACTAGTAATGAGTTCAGTGTTAAGTGTACAGTCTTAGCTTGAGAAAGTAAAATAACGGCTTCAAAGAGTTGGAAGCATCATTCGTTCTATCAAGGGAGCTCAAAATGCATGGCAAAAATGAACAAGTCTCTATCACAAGTGATCTCATGTCGTTCTTACCGTACTGCCAGCTATAACACCACGTTAGATGAGTAGACCCCCTAGGGACTACGTTTATACTTCCATCATCTGTGCGTGAAACTAGGTACTACCGTCGCAGCGCGTTGTCAGCGTTATCCTTGGTGAGTTGTTTGTGAAGTGGAGGCTAGTTGATGTTGACTCAAAACGAATCGAATATTCAAGTTTGAGGGAGTTGGACGTGTAGAGCGTAAGATAAAGGTGAATGACCTAACTTTCAGGCCTCTAAGGAAGGCATTAATACCGAAACATTAGGCCGAATAAAGTATACATGTAACCTGTTTTGGCAAGGAAGGCTCTAAGCTTTGAAAATTCTCAAATGATTTTCATAATGCCGAACTGTCAGACAGAATGCTGAATTAATTGATCTTAGTAAATTCTTTAGCATAGGATTTAGCCCTTGGTGGTGCTACTAAAAAATTTAGCAACGATCTTCTAACCTATCTTTGTCAAGTTACAAAAAGAACAGCACTTAAGAATATTGTTTCGCTTGCTTTTTACGAAAACGCTAAAAACATGGCTTCTACAAAAATCTTCAGAGACCACCTGAAAGTATGATGTTGACAAACAGGAGAAGATATATGAAAAACGGGTGTGAAAAAAATTGCCTAGGGAAGAAAACCTACAGAAAAGCGCGGTCGGTTACCGCCTACGTAAGCTACAGCGAAAATCAGTGCACGCACTGCATGTTACGATGCTATACCACAAGAAAGAGTGACTTTGCAAGAACAATCTAAATTAATATGTAAGGCGGTGATAAAACAATCTTAGCTTATACTTGATACATAGAAAACATGCCAGCCTGACTTTCGAAGATTGTCACATGAAGGGATTCATCAAAAGGCAGAATTGCACTTGATTAAAAGGGCACGTTGAAATCTCTATGCAAGCGCGAGAGGTGACTCTCGAGGTACTGGTCGCACTCACGTGTTTCGTTGTAAATAGTGTTAAACTATCATGATTTAGGCTCGTATGCACGTACATCCCCGCGGGGAGGGGATCTGAGAGGGGAAGCGCTATATCTCGCTAGTTTATATATCTTTCTTCTTTTTTCTCTGTCTTGCTTTTGAGGGTTCTCATACACTGATACCTGCGCATAACGGATGCCAGGTTGCTACCATTATAGAACAGATATTGAAATTTCACTCACTTCTACCACAAACATGTTTAGCAGTGCTATAGCATATCCTCAGTACAATTTTAGAGCATTTTCATTGAGCAGTATCGTAGTATATCTTCAGTACATTTTGCAGCGTTTTCATTGAGTTTTCAGGAAGATAAATGACTTTGAAAAGAGGTGATCCCCTGGGGATCCCCAGGGGATCAGACGAAATAGTGATTATCTAATCTTGCATGGCAGTAACCTGGCATCCGTTATGCGCAGGTATCAGTGTATGAGAAACTTCATAAGCAAGATAGAGGAAGAAGAAGAAAGATGTGTAGACTAGCGAGATATGACGCTTCCCCTCTCAGATCCCCTCCCCGCGGAGGATGTACGTGCATACGGGCCTTGATGATGAGAAATATCGTCAGGCACTATCCGTGATTCTAACGTCGGACACTGGTATAATCGTCGATCAGTTTCCTTCTTTTCCTAATACAATGATTTCCTTATATATTGGCAACATCCGTCAAACTCGGGTCTGCCCGTTAAGATCGTTGAATTGTTAGCAGAGGTGCGATGGGGGGAGCCGGGCCCACCGAAAGTGAAGGTGGTCCCAGCTACCACTGGCCGGCCAAAAGTGAAGGTGGTGATGTCGGACACTCACCTTCCAAAAACGTCGACGGGGGGGGGGGGAGGTAGAACGGGCAAACAGAGCTATCCTTCTAGGTCAAACTGTGGCCCAACGGCCCTCTTTAGGGCCACAGATACAATGAATATAAAAAATATTTATAAATTTTATTTATAAAAATTCAAAATAGACGTGCTTAGTACATGGTGTATTTGGAAGTAAAAGTTTGTTGGAATGTGCGGATTTTATTAAGTAAATTTTGTCATAACAGAAGGAAGTAGGTCGATCTAGGCAGTAACGGCCGAGAACCAGAATTTTGAATATTTAAATAGTGAAAAATCATGCGAAAATTCCACTGTTATAAATCTGTTGTTTGAAGATGTCAGCAGTTGCGACTTCATAGGTTTTGAAGAGTAAATGGTGCTCTTTCAGCTAGTGAAAAACCGAGTGAATTGAGAGATAGTCATTGAAAACCAGAATTCTAAATATTTACGCCATTTTTGCGCGTTTTTTGACAGTTGACAGTTAAACTCATCTAAATCTTGAAAGTGAAAGTGTGTGATGTTGCGACCTCATAGATTTTGTAGAGTAAGGTTTGCCTTATCTGAATATATCTTAGCCGTACCGATTCACTGAAAAAATGCCGAGATTTAGAGTTTTGAAAAAGCAGGTAAAAAAGCGCTTTTTGAAATTCAACAGCTCATAACTTCTTCAGATCTGCATGTATCATGTTGCGACTTCATAGGTTGGATTCTTCTCATCAAGAGCTTTCAGATGATATATAATATGTGGGGGTTTAGAGCCTCCTACGAATTATGCCCGTGGGGGGAGCCTTTTCATACCAAAGTCTCCCCCCTCCAATACATTAGAGTGAGCTAGGGGGAGACTTTGGTATGAAAAGGCTCCCCCCACGGGCATAACTCAGACAATCGCCGGGGGCAGGCGGGCACCGGAAAAATAGATTGATGATCTCTCGCACCCCGCTCGCGGATTTTTTGGAAAGCAATCAGGACTTCTCGGAAGACCGCTTGCTGAGTTCTCGATTTCTCAGAGAATCAGCAATATATCTGCAAAAGATAAGAGCGAAAAAGTTCAACGGGCGGTCTCTCAAAAATCCGCTGACTCAGCAAGCGGTCTTCCGAAAAGTCCTGATTGCTTTCCAAAAAATCCGCGAGCGGGGTGCGAGAAATCAGCAATCTATTTTTCCGGTGCCCGCCTGCCCCCAGCGATCGTCTGAGAATTCGTAGGAGGCTCTAAACCCCTACATATTATATCATCTGAAAGCTCTTGATGAGAAGAATCCAACTTATGAAGTCGCAACATGATACATGCAGATCTGAAGAAGTTATGAGCTGTTGAATTTCAAAAAGCGCTTTTTTACCTGCTTTTTCAAAACTCTAAATCTCGGCATTTTTTCAGTGAATCGGTACGGCTAAGATATATTCAGATAAGGCAAACCTTACTCTACAAAATCTATGAGGTCGCAACATCACACACTTTCACTTTCAAGATTTAGATGAGTTTAACTGTCAACTGTCAAAAAACGCGCAAAAATGGCGTAAATATTTAGAATTCTGGTTTTCAATGACTATCTCTCAATTCACTCGGTTTTTCACTAGCTGAAAGAGCACCATTTACTCTTCAAAACCTATGAAGTCGCAACTGCTGACATCTTCAAACAACAGATTTATAACAGTGGAATTTTCGCATGATTTTTCACTATTTAAATATTCAAAATTCTGGTTCTCGGCCGTTACTGCCTAGATCGACCTACTTCCTTCGCAGTATGTTATGACAATTTACTTAATGACAATCCGTACAGTTTCACTAAGTTTTACTTCCAAATACACCATTTACTGAGCACGTTTATTTTAAATATATATGTCGCCGTATACATAAATATATGCTTTCGATAATCTTTTTTGCGTTTGTTTTATTTTCCTTCTTTATCGTCCAGCGAAAAACTTTCTATTTCGAAAGTGAAGGTGGTCACCCTGTACCAGCTCAAAAGTGAAGGTAGGGGAAGAATCGGCTCCCACTATCGCACCTGTGATTGTTAGAACAAGAAATTAGAGTTAAGCAAAGTGATCAAAATTTTAATGTTGTAAAGTATGTCTTTTCGCCATCGCATAAGAATTTTGAATGTATCAGACATCTTTTGATAAAATTTCATGAAGACTCGTCATCCTCGTCCTAAAATGATTCACTATTATTTTTGGCACTGTTTCGTGTAGTAAATTACGCACAAGTTCATGGGAGCGCACATGCCATTGTTCCATCTCTAACTGTGGTATAGGCTTGTTATTGCTTCGAATCGGTGGTGGCATCTGAACACAGAAAATGTTTTTAAATATGCCCTTGGCAAAGAAATATTATCCGCAAATAGCCGGAAACAACTCGATTATATGTAACTACCTTCTTCAAATCATTGAAGTAGTGATGCCTCATTACTTGAGCAGCAGTTTTCCGCTTTTTTGGTTCGTACACAAGTACTTCTTGCAATAGCGAGAGGGCGTTTTCGTCGAAGCCGGCACCAACATACTAAATTCGTGCACGTAGAAGTTGTGCTGGTGATCTTGGGTAACTAGTACTCAGTCCATTATTGAGTAGCATGTGCTTTCACCTTCTGTGGTGCTCGGTAATGAACCATATATGCTCTACGAGGTCTTTGTCCCAGTCCTTCCCCTTTGCTTTTCAGACACGAAGTTTTCTTTCACTATTCTATGAAGATTTGTCATAGTCCCCTTTAGGATTCTTTTCCGACAGCCACAATAAATTGGAACTGGGCAAGGGAAGTAGGACTTGATTGAAGAATACTTGTAGACGAAGCTTGATTGGACGAAAAATACAATTTGAGGGTAAAGCAAACATGAATGCCTCAGTCGCTACTGGGCCAGTAGTAATCCCCCCGACCTGGCGGCAGGTCTCGTCGGCAGGTCGCTGGCACCTTTTCCGTGAGGTGACCAGAAAGTGAGACCCCAAATTTAGGCCGTCCCAGGCCTTATTCCAAAAAATTTTCTCGATAAAGATGCCGTCACTCTGTAGAAAACTCCATAAAAGTCTGCGGTTCCAGAACTCCCCCTTTAGTAAAATATATGGCAGCGCGGGTGGAGCTGCCGGCAACTTCGCGATGTCAGTTGCCGGCAACCTGCCGGCAGCTCGTCGAAATCCGCGAGATGGCAGCTGCCGGCAGGTCAGAGAGCACGGGAAATAGCGTGCCTTTTGAGAGAGGGAGCTGCCGGCATCTCGACGTGCCCCTACCACGTCGAGGTGGTGGCACCTTTGCCGACGGCGTCTGCGAGTTTGCGATTTGCGGCCATATCACGCAATTTACGTCAGACGAAAAAATCAAAAATCCTGCTTTTCATCAAAAAAAACTATCATTTTTTTCATTATATGAATTTTTCTTTTCTAAAACTACAATTTTCTTACAGGGAAAAAATCCAGTAATGTTTTAAAATCATAAAGAACACCATCTCTTTTGGCAATCCCTTATAAATCTCGTTTGCACCGATTTCGCTCCTCTCTCGCTCATATCAATCAGCTGTTCTTTCAGGTCAAAGTCTTTCACGCAATGTATCGATCCCTCTTACAGGCAGCAATTTACCAGCGCGTTCCTCCGATTGCTGGTGCAAACGGAGATTGCTGATCGAATGGTCGAGTGGTTAACGTGGTGGCACTTCAGTTTTTGATTGATTTGTAATCTTGCAAGAATTGCAGGTTGGATTTTGATAACTATGCGCGCAAAAATCTATGCTCTATGACCATTTCATAAGCATGACGACGTTCGTCACGGTTATGTATGGTAAGTTCGAGCGTTTTAAACGTATATTAGGTTCATTCTAAAATCAGGAAAGCTGCTTGTCTAACTAAGAGTTTTGCTGTAGTAGTACAATAAGTTTGAACGTTCACATCGTGCCTTCGTCTTTCATGGGCTGTGGTCGTAGTTTTCAGCATATTTTTCAAAGAGAGACATAGTAATCACTTACGTCAAACATTAAAAAGGACAAATTGTAAAAATTCCGCACAATCATTCTAAAGCTTTTTTGATACTATATAATCATGGTGATTATGAAAACTACTTGAAAACCTCCTTTCGAAACCAAGAACCTGGAAAAAGCTTAATTCCTCCTTGTAAAAAAAACAATATTGCTTTGCATTCGATTTTGAGTTCTGCTTTGGAGAATGAACTTTAATTCATCCATAACTTAAAAGATTCCACAGCCAACTTCGAGAGAGTTTATATCATTCCAGACATACCTGCTCGTAACATACAACTGCTGGATTTTTTCGTATCTAGGCAGCCAAGGAAACAAAAATAGCAAGCTGCAAGCCAAGCGATTCTACAGTAGATGTCAACCAAATGATCGCTTTTCCGTAGCAGCTATGCGTCCGCACTGCCGCCCAGCGCGGCGACCTAGATCGATGGAGTTTTGAGTGTGCAAACTACACGCGCGCGAGGCTGTGGGGTGCGATTTGGCCTGTGGAAAAAGGAGCACGGTTGACACGGAGTGTAGGATCTCCCTTAAATAAGTAGTCATATGCGCAAATCTTCGAAAGTGCAGCTATAGGTTCATTTACCTTTTTTATGTGATAGTTCCAGAGGGAAATCAGACCTAAATCACCAAAATTCCCGGGGCCGGCATTTATTTTCAGCTATCTTTGTTTATTCATCTCTAGCCATGGAAGTGATAATGCGAGTTTATCAGGGTGTCCCACAGTTTGTATTAAACGTTTGGTCTGTAAAAATTTCTTGTTTGTGAACTCTCGCTTTTCTTTCAACACCATAATGTATTAGGTTGGTCAGACTAAATCTGCTATTTCTCAAAACCTAATGCACGTGCATCCGCTAAAAGTACCAATCAATAGAGTAAAGCAAGTTCTACAAGATGGTATGCAGAAGTTCGTACCAGCTTCGACCCACTGCAAGTTTGCATCCAGAATCTGAATCGTACTGAAGGCTCGAAAAGTTTGAAATTCATATCTTCGTTCACAAAAATCCTACGGATCTCCAAATTGCTCAGGCAAATGCACACCTCATCAGACACTCATATATACCGTTCCTGTATTGTTCCCTCATCTAGAAATCGAGAAAAGAAAAGTTTTTATGCTCAAAAACGAAGCTACGCTGTTCCCATTCATGCAATTGCATAGTACAATCACCTGGAAGTATAACCGTAAATTTTCAGCTTTCCACAGGCTCTAGTTTCCAAAAGTTACCGAAATGAGCTCTCCTCACCAGCTTTCCTCACAATATTTCTCAGAAACTAGAGCCTGTACGAAGCTTTATAAAATTTACGGTTATACTTCTAAGTGATTGTACTATACAATTACGTGACTCTGAACAGCGTAGCTTCATTTTTAGGTAAGCAGGAGACTTTCGTTTTCGATTCCTAGATGAGAAAAAAAATACAAGAACGTTACATATGATTGTCTAGTGTGGTGTGCAATTGTGCAATTTTCGTGAGCAATTGGAAATCCGTAGGGTTTTCATGAACGAAGATATGAATTTTTCCCAATTTTTGCAACTACTTTTATATAGGGGCCTGCAGGATCGCGAGAGTCGGACGTGCGTACGGCCATTGCGCCGCGCACGTCCGATGTCACTAAGGGAGGTGCCAGACTTACCCGCTTCAGCCGGTCCGTTCTGTTTACAGGTCAAATCACTACATTGTCCAACAGCAAAGGTGGACCGAATGAACCTGTTCAACAGGATAAGTCTGACACCTACCTGAGTCGTCGGACGCACATTTGACGTGCGCGGCGCAATGGCCGTACGCACTCCCGACTCTCGCGATCTTGCAGGCCCCTATAACTTCTCTCTCTTCGCACATGACGCACTCAAATTTTTCCATTATGTAGGTCGTGACGTAAGGTACAAGTGCAGCCACACTTTCTGCAATTCTGACGTCGCAAGGAGATTAGGTAAATGGTATAGGGTGAAAAATCATTGATTATTACAAATTTGGATGAAACCTTGTGTAGGTGAGTTATCTGACATGCTGTTCACAAAAACAATATTAATTTCGCATGGTAGGGGCTTTTTTGTAAGGTTACAGTAGGCGATATAGGGTCTCACACTAAACAAGAAGAGGTGTTAACTTGATGAGCATGATCTAGATTGATAACGGCCTCATTTTCATTTGAAACTTCATGAATCCTCAAATTTCACCAATTTTGGAAAAACCCCGGATTTTTTGTATTTTGTCATCAGAAAGCGAGCAGTTTGTGCCAGGTATAGCTCACACGGCAGTCTATACGTTATCAAAATTTGAGCAGACCAATATCAATAAGCAAAAAGTTACGGACTTAGTTGCAAAACTTAGTTAACAGCCTATTAGTTGAGTAATGGAATCAAAGCGCCAAAATCGTACATAACTTTCTAGTATTTGAATTTTGTTGACATGAAGCGTAAGTTTTTACCGTAATCCTACAGTAATGAAGAGTCTCGGTGATTCGCTCTGTATCGCAAAGATAAGTTGAAGCTAGGTTTACTAAATATAAAATAGTTTACAAAGTTTCTCTTGAGTGCTAAAGATAGAAAGAGCAAGAACCATTATTTCAACGAAGCGTCATACTGAGCAGGTAAGTTTAATCGTGCGGTGAAACCTACCGTTTAGTCCGTTTATTGTCCGTTCCATTTACTCTCCTGGTAAACATGCGAAATATTATATATATATTATATTATATATATAATATAATATATATAATATTTATATATATAATATTTATATATATAATATATTATAATATATATTATAATATATATAATTATAATATATGTAATTATAATATATATAATAATAATATATATAATATAATATATAATATTAATAACATATATGATATTAATATTATATATATAATATAATATATATAATATATATATAAATATGAAGAAAGGCAAAAGCTTTCTATACAAAGAGTTATTGCACCATAAATGCTCTACACATCATTTTGACACTCTGTATATGTTTAAAGAAAACAGTGTATGCATGACTGATTTTTTTTGTGACTGAGTTTTGCGGAGTTACATCCAATGTTACATGATCGAACGTTATACATTTCTCGAAGGCCATTTTGTGCCTTGCCTTATCGTAATACGTGAGTTTCAGTGAAAAAATGAGTAGAATAAGTTGCGTTTACAACAGAAGCTATCAGGGAACATAATAGAAAAAATTGTCTCGAATTGTAACACGCTTGGAACCTACATCTGGCCGCCTATAGTTCATAAACTACAAGCGACTACATTTACTAAACTAGTTTTTTTTTATATAGAATCTGATGAAAAAGGTTATCCTGTGAAAATAAGCTCCAGGCACCCACTTTTGCGAGTCCCCTAGCTGAACATCTGTGTACTCGTGGTCTGCTGCACTGCATTGCTTTGATTTCCTCATAGCTTGGATATCCCAAAACGTCAACTATCAACTTTACCTTAAATTGAGAAAGCGTTTATTGAGCAGCTACTAAGAGCTCTTACCTGGTCTTCAGAGCTTCTTCCTTTGAACAGGGGTCTGGCAGTGATAAAATCATACAACACGCAAGCAGAAGACCAAACATCTACAAAATAAATACATTGCAAGACATATGGCAGGTAGACAAATGCACATTGTGCATGCTTGCTACACCTAGACTTTTGGACAGCTTGCATATTTAATTAACTAGTTTGATGGCAGATTGTCGCATAATTGAGAAAGCAGCAATTTCTCTTGGACGTACGCTATACAATACCATTTTGATATTTACCACACATACACTTTATACATAGACAGTTGCATTCTGCATCGCAAAACTTGTGAAACCATAGGCAAAGTTTGATTTGTTTAACGAAAATAAGATAAACAAGAATGAAAGAATAAACCTATTGCTGGTGTCAGCACCGTGCTTCCAAAGAGCAGTTCCGGAGGGCGATAGTATCTAGTTACCTAAACTATTGAACAAGTACGTCTATAGTATTATGGAATCTCTGTACATATAAAGCAAAGAATTTGTAAATGTGTGGGCTATATATGTTTTTAATAATTTTTTTGGGTGCTCGATTATGATCGTTCTCATATATCTTCTCCGGCGGTCCCCGCAGGCTTCATTTTGCAGCAATTCGCTGGGTCCTGAGCTATTTTTAGCAGACTACAATAAGAATGAGCCCTTAACAACCGCTGTCAAATAATCTACGTGGTTCCTTGTAATAAAATAGCGGTAAAGCTTACTTCTATTTTAATCAGTATGCGGTGGCCTAAGACCCAAAATAGCGGTTGACCCTGTCCTGATCGCGCAGAGTCTGTAAATCCTTAATGGGAAATTAAGCGCTTAGTAGGTCGGCAGGGTGCGCAGAGTAAAAAATTTACTCAGGGCAGGTCGGCAGGGTGCGCAGAGTAGAAAATTTACTCAGGGCAGGAAGAGGGGCGGAAGAAAGCGTTTTCAGTTTTGCTATATGCATCTTAGTCCTGCACCCAGGCAACTAACACCGCAACTCGGGCAAGAGAGGGGATGCTAGTTGAACATGGCGTCGCTTGTCTTCTCATTATATAAGGATACAAGCCCCGGTGGGACATGCAAGTACAATTCCAAATCTGAATTTGTACTTGCTGAACGCTTACCTAGAAAGGTTGAGAGATTGAATTTTCAGATATGGCAAACATTTAACACCTTCATGCTGTTTAACAACTTTTCGGTCTTCTAATCAGAACACTCGATACCGTCGCAGATACGCTCTTCCAAGAATTTCGAAGCACATTATACACTAGCACTTCAACAACTCCCTTAATTGCTCGCGAAATCTTCCAGGGTTACTCAGCAGCTATGGGGAATAGATATGGAATCAACTTATAATCTAGTGATATGCATTGCAGTCTACCATTGCGACTTGGAATCCTTCTCTTGTCAACAGCAAGACACTCCATCAACAACAGTCATTTTAGCTTATTTGAATCCTTCGCGCACAGCACAACATTTTTGCATTTCCCTATTCTAATATTATATTTTGAAGATCTTTATCGCTACGAAGAAAATGGAAACATGCTTCCATTATCAACACAGTCGCCATCAAAGCTTCCATTTACTGTTTTGATGCGGTTTCGACGTATAGATATGGTGGTGTTGCACGTTGTGAGATAACTTTTGCGATAGTTCGTTTCAAATACGGCGACAACGCTTTTGGTTCTGTTGTTGTCACCGGCAGTTCTTTGTAAACAGTTTTCATCAATGTCGCCTATGACACTTCACCTGGTACGAAGTCGATCCTATAGTGCCGAACTGAACTGCATTTCCAAAATCAGCTAGTTTGAGCTGGCCTTCCTGAAATTTGAGTTTCGGCATATGACAGTCTGCACTTGAAAACTTAAGACTAACGCCGTGGTCTAGAACAAGATTTGAAGGTTTGATATCCAAATGAATGACCTTCCATTTATGGAGAAAGTTAACCGCCGAAAAAAGTTCGTACGAATAAAGCTTAAATTATTGGTTTTATTTAGCATTATATTTGGCACAAACAAACTTTGGCGTCCAGTGAATCAAATTTGATTCCTTTTTCTCTCAGCCGTTGTACATCATCAGGTAAATAATCCAATACTAGACAGTGGATGACCTAAATAGACAATTTCTTGTGTGAATCATGCGGGAATTCCAAAGGACCTGATGATCAATTCTTCTTGTAAAATGATACAGAAGAGCTACTATGTTTTGATGTGGTGGTATACTAGAAAGAACTTCGATTTCAGGAAAAGGCTGAGTCTTTGATGCCATGACATTTTTTGGTTCCCTATAAAGCTTGGTTTGACATGTCTATCAAAAAGACTTTATTGAGAGATATGAACGTACAATTCTATTTTTACTTATACTAATCTACTTTAACGCTAAGACATTATGAAATTAATAAGCAACAAACACAGATTTATGGATAAGGATGCAGATAGTATACAGTCTGTCCAATCTCAATCATGCCAAAAGTGGTATAGCCGTAGAAATGGCTCAAAACCCGCGTCCATGTGCGGGATTTGAGCCATTTCTGCGGCTAGCTTGTCTGCTCTCTGTTCAATTTCTTCACAGTTCTCGCAGTGTGCTGGAACTGTGCGGGAACAGTTTTGACGGCGAGAGTCTAAGAATTTTGACCATTCTCAACGGTTTTCCTTTCAGATTTCTCTCATTTTGGCCTTATTCCTCCACCCCGCTTCCCTTTTTTATCAGCAGAACTTCAAACTCGAAGCGGGGTTGAGGATTGAACGCTGTTCTGCTCCATGTATCCGGGAAGATGGGCCTTCGTGCGCTCGTCCATCACCTCATCGCTATTTTTGTTCAGACTTACTTCATGTGTTCTAGCAAGGTGCTGCGTAGTCTCGCATCTGTATTGAAACTGACATAGACAGGTCTCTGAAACACATGAAGTAGGCCTGAACAAAAATGGCAGGGAAGATGGACGAGCGCACGAAGGTCCATCTTTTCGGATACATGAAGCAGAACAACGTTCAGTTCTGAACCCCGCTTCAAGTTCGCAGCTTTTCTCATCACAAGGATAAGCGGGGTAGAAGAAAGAACGAAGAAGCAACGATATGGAAAAAGGGAACGGGCCGAAAACGCCCAAAGACGAAACTCATCAAAAACAAAAAACAAGTCCTAATTCATGCAATTTCAGAATTGCGCTCGTACTCCCTAATTCGTGACAGATGGGTATACTACGCAGCGGCTTTTTGGAACTAATAAAGCAGTTTTTAGCAAGAATCACAGAGAGAGAATGGACGAGCACAAGAACACACGTTTTGTCGCATACGCAGAGCAGAAAAGCGCTCATTCTTCAACCCTGCTCTGAGTCGAAGTTCTGCTGATCAAAAAGGGAAGCGGGCTGACGAATAAGGCCAAAATGAGAGAAATCTGAAAGAAAAACCGTTGAGAACGTTCAAAAATCTCCAGTTCTCACCGTTCAAAACGGTGCGGGGCGACTGCAGCGCATGCAACGCAGTTCCGGAACTGTTCCCGCACAGTTCCAGCACAGTGCGAGAAATGTGCGGGAACAGTTCCAGAACATGGGAATCAGTATGAACCCAGCCTTATTCTGCACTAGGATAGAAATGGAACTTGTGAAAAATTCAAAACGATAGTCGACAAGGTAGCCAGTGCTAATTGTTATTATCGTCCCGCTCGACGCTTGCCCGGAAGATCAAATCTATCAGAATACTGATGACCGTACTCACCATGAATTTTTTATAGCAACTTTTCTTTTTTCAGGTTCCACCAAATCTGCCAGATATACGTTTGAGAATCGCCCACTACCACAGATGCGTTCACCTTGAAAATGTTCCTTGCAATAGAAATCACACGAAGATTTGTTCAAAAAAATTTTAGGCCTCTCGAGTCTTTGACATCTACAAGATTTTGTATTGACAAAAAGAAGGTCTACACCCCTTGACGGATTTTCAACACAACTTTTCGCTGTCTGCCCTGAAGAAAGGCACTTCAAATTAAGGCCATCCTTAGTCTGCTTGCAGAGGGTTCTTGAAGAATTCAAACGCCTTAAATCGAGTGAACACCGAGCAGGGCTCGGCACGAGCTGGCACCACGGAAATCCCAAAACGAAGTCCCTCTTGATCTTGGAAATTTCGTACGAAGTCCTCTTTGACCTTGAAGACCCCTCATTACTTTCAGATTCTGTAAACGTATGTGACAGGGTTTTTGGGAGCGCTTTGTGATTGGAGCAGGTTTTTCGATTGCGCAGCAGAGCGAGAAATTTTCAAATGGCTATAAAACGCAGAAAAGAAAACATTATGAAATTGGTTTTCCTCTGTACGTAAAATTTTACAGTGTAGATACAATTTATGCAAAAAAGTGTGAAAACTTATGTGAGCAAAGGGTCTGTGCCAGCTTAGCTGGAACCCAGCTGGCACGGTGCCAGCTAATTCAGAAAAAAAGTTCAGCACAGCTTTTATTCACATAAGTTTTTATAAATTTGGGCCATAGTTCGGGTCCCCTCATGCGCATGCACTCACCAGTTTTGGTGTCATATGATTGCATTTAGTTTGTAAACGCTTTTGTCTGACTGGGGTAGATATGTCGGTTGCATGCTGCAAGCATGCCAGCGGCATATCGGCGGCATGCTCACGGCTCTTCTCCACAGATCCCACAAAAACGATATCTCCTTTGCTTTCCGCCCCAAAAACGATGTCCACCTTGACTCAGTGTCAGCTATGCCGAGCCCCCTGACACCGAGCCCTGGTCTGTTATTGCGATTACTGCGTGCAGGATTTCTGAGAACAGGATTTCGGTGACTCACCTTCTGCAGAGAGAGAGAGTGAAGAGAGAGAGAGACAGCAAAAAAATGCCTTATTCTGTATTCTTCCAAAACCTATTGCCTTACTGTTGGCTCCTTTGGAGGGCCTTACTAAATGAACCGATAAACGTGGTTTTGACCCTCTTGAAAAATATTGTAGTGCTTCCAGATAAAGAAAGAATAGTTTTTATATTTGAGTAATTCCTATTGTACTGTACTGTACTCATACTGTGGAAAGCTTTATCTCGCTGGGAAAGCAGAGAGAAAAAATTTGTGAAATAGCCCCTCTGAAAACTCTGCTTATTTATTTATTTATTTATTTATTTATTTATCAAATACATCGTAAGCGATGCACCACCTTATCACTGTATTTCTGTATTTTCGGAAAATACAGGTGTACTTCCAAAAGACGTCACTGTGTTCTAATAAGGAAAGCTACCTAACTTAGCTCGGCCTTTTGGTAAAAGGCATACATATTCTGATTCAACTTCAAACGCTGATTCTAAATGTGCTATTTCTAGCTGTCACGCACCATTCCGAAGCAAGTTATGAGCTTTTTCCTGCGCAAAATTGGCATACTACTGAACATGAGAAGAATGCCTGTAGATAAAAATCTGCAAGAAAAAAGTGCTGAGTATCGTGATAACACAAATCCAACTTTTTATCACTAAAAAGAAGCCTAACGCAAGTGTATTAGCGCTTAGATGATGATGCCGTGATGCCAGTGAGTCGATGACTATGCCAATTTTGCGCAGGAAAAAGCCCATAACTCGCTTCGGAATGGTGCGTGGCAGCTAGGAATAGCATATTTGGAATTAGCGTTTGAAGCTAATTCAGAATATATATGTCCCTTGCCTGAAGGCCGTGCTAAATTAGGCAGCTTCCCTTGTAAGCACTAGGCAAAGCTCTTGCCTTGAGTGTGTTCCGTGAAGGGTATCAGAAATTTCCAGCCTGTATGAATCCCTCTAAATTTTCGAGAAGCATAGAAGTTTGCCGGGTGTATCGCTTGCCCCTTTTTATCCTTTGCCTACGAGAAGCCCTTGCTCGGAACCAATGTCACCCTGTCAGCGCGTCGATCGAAAAACAAACTTGCTTATACGAGGACATCTGCACCACCGTCTCAGAGACTAACAACGATACAGATGTTGCATTGCCTTAACAATTCCAAATACGAACTTCGACAAGGCGACATAGTCTTGCCGAAGCCGTTAGCCGCGGCCCTGCAGTGAGTGATGAGATTAGTAAGTTGATTCAAAGGGAGACAAGTTGATGGAGACTCCCCTGATTTATTTTGCGAAAGACATGTTCTCTTTTGTGCAGCATTTCAATACAACGCTGATGAAACTGAGCAAAGCTACAAAGAAGAACGGATTGCAAAGTTGGGCTCATTTTACGAAAACGCCTTTTCCGGGAGAAGGAAGTGGAATTGGAAAGCATTTTCACTAAGTCGTCTCCTTGTGTGCATCTAAGGAACGCATGCATTTACATCGCGCTGATGTGGGGATCTCCAAAAGAAAGCTCCGTATCCCAGAGCAGATGTTTGGATTTCATGCGGTCTATCCATCCATAGCAGTGGCCTACTCAGGATTTCCGCTCGGGAAGGAAGGTGCATAAATTTTTTCTGATGAAGGTGCGTGGCGTCAGCCATGCAAGCCGAAAAAATTTTTGGTATGCTTCCCAAGATTTTTGCGAGCCCTAACCGAACCCCAAAAAAATGTTCTTACAAGACTATTTATTTTTCAAAAATTTTTGAAAATTTGTTGATTATGTACGAGTACAAACAAGTTGCTTGCACATTTTTATAACTCATATAAGTAGCATTTCGCGACCCATTCTCGGGAGGGGGGGGGCGCCCTCGGTACACCACTGATCCATAGGTAGTTCTACTATATCACTATAAACTTATTGAGCATGAGCGAGAAATTTTACAAGCCGCATTTTGCAGCTTTCCAGATGATCCCCTGATGATCTCCAGCGTCTACCCGCCTTTTTTCACAGTAATTTTCTCTCTTTTAAGTTAATGAAAACATTTCAAATTTGTGCTGATTATCCAACCGAACAGTGCATGTTTCCTAATAAGAACGAATAGTTATTGAAAATTGAATAAAAACAAAACAATTAAACAAAAACAAACAAACAAGACAATTAAACAACATTAAACAAAACAATTAACATAGTGATTAAAATGTCGAAATTCTAAACAAACCCCAGCTCTCAACTTGTGGTTCATCGCAATTTTTATGTCTTTCATACATCATCTGTTCGTATCAGAAACACGCAAAGAACAGACGACAGGTGGGCACTGACAACTCAACAGGATTTCTTGCAAGCACCACCCCCCCCCCTCCCTCTCCGGAAAACAAGAGTACGCGATATTGGCAGACATTCGTGGAACAGGAACCAGATGAGAAATGAGTTTGATACCGACTTCGCACCTGGAAGTACTGGGCTCGGTCATTGACGACAATCAAGATGACCATAGATGCTTAGAGCGAAGGAGAGGGACAAGTGAAAACGTTTGTATTGGGGCTGGCCATGCGAAGGCGAAAACGCGCGATCTATCTTATCTAAGGGCTGCATGCACCGACATCCTCGCTGGGGAGGAGATCGCACATCAAAAGAAAGCTTCAATTCTGAGCTCCAGATATGTGGATTTCCTTCTACATTCGTAAGCATCCTTCATTTATATTGAAAGAGAGCAAGAAGCTGTACAAGCCGCTTCCCCGGCTTTTTATATGATTCCTTGATGATCCCCAGTCGCCGACCATCTTTCTTTAAGAACATTTTTCTTCCTTCGTAGTTGACGAAAACCCTTCCTAATTTATACTGATTATCTTACCCAACAATGCTAAGCATGTTTATTTATTTATTTATTTAATACGCTCTTAGCGTTCCTTACAAACGAAAAAAATACACAGTTATATATAACTAACCATAAGAATAGATCATCATGCAGTTCAGGTCGAATCCTTTGGAATAAATTAGTTAACGCAATAATACAGCCTGTATGTGATTGATAAATGATTACAAGTTCAGTATTGAATGAATTTGATCATGGAGATGGCACTCATGCCCCATTAATTGCCAGCAAAACGATCCTGACATATTCCAACAAGTAGACATTTCGATAGTAGATCCGCTTTCATAAGCCAGTGCACTGGGAAGAGTCTGATGACTCTAAGTGAATAGCAAATGTAGTAGTATATGACTAAGTTACATGCGACAGGGAAGAAAAGTTAAACCCCTAATGTATGGAGCTAATGCTCATGTAATACATTTGCCGGCAAAAATGCTCTTAAAGTTATAAAATAAGCAAAGCAAGGCCAAGTTTGTGGAATAATAATTGACCTTGCCTAAAAGATTCCGGGGAGAGTTCAATGCTCCGAGAAAATGTCAGCTTAATATCGCATTTTCTAAGTTCAGGGTAAGCAATTCATCAGGCTGCACTACTTGTAAAAGGAGAAGTTGTTGATTATATCTGAGCTAGCACGATGATAGATATGGGTTAGTAAGAAATGTAAGTGAATAGTGTTAAAAAACAACACAGAATCACAATGGGTATATGGAATTCAAATTGATCATGAAATAGAAATTCAATCGCACGCCAGTTAATATAAACACTATAGATGTCGAAAATATGATGGAATGAGTTATCATGGATAGTAGCGTCCATAATTAGACGAAATTCCATAAGTCGTCATTCCGTGCTAGTTGGTAATCGTAGCAGAGACCATAACTTATAATAACGGGCTAAGGGTTGTTTACGTTTGTGTGTGTGTGTGTGTCTGAATCTCTGTCTGTCACGAAATTCGTAGAGCGAGTTCCAGCCAACCTCCTGAGCCCAAATTTTGCACAGCGCATACTACCAACATAAAAGTCCAACATACCAAAGCATGAGCAGATCCGTTGCGTGGATCCCTCAAAAAATGCGCGTCAATCGGATCCACTTTGCATTTGGGCCGCATAATTGGGTCCGTAATTCCACTTTTTGCAAAGTAGTGGATGTTTATGCCAAGTAAAA